GTCTGTATGTGGGCTCCAAACCCTCGGCGGGAGCGCCACCGCGCTCCCAAGCGGCGCACTGTAGCAGGGCGCCACCGGGTCAGCCCCCCACTCTAAACAACTTTAACAGGTTTATTTATTGCATAGTAAAATCAATAGTATAGCAACTAGTGTAGCATGGATAATGTAGTAAAGTTGATAGTATTTTGATGATAAAGTACACAACTTTGTTATACTATAAATACTACGGTATAGTGGACAGATATACTATAGTAAATTTGTATCGCAAAGTTGATAGTGTTGAATAGATAGTAATGTCAAAACAAATATACTTTCTCCTTCATCCAAACTTTACATTCCATTGCAATGCCATCTAAAGTGCATAATTTAAAACGACCTTTAAAAATTCTTAGCCAGAGAAAGGTTTTCACAATTGTTTTGGATTACCTAGGGTGCTAGAGAAGGTATGAAGAGGAAGGCTATGACATTGATAGAAGTATAAATAGCATTATGCATGTGGAAAGAGGAGTCAGGAGAAATAACAGGATCAATATACCTGGCACTGTTCTGTCACCTAAAAACTGGAGAATCTATGTCAAAGTACAATAAACCAATAATTTCTGGGCATTGTTATTAGCCTTCTGTAACTGAGAGCTATAAGGGATAGCTCACTGGTTTTAAATTTCAGTGTGTACGTAAGTAAAGTCTCTGAACAGTAAGGAGCTCTGTATATCATTTTCTGCCGTAAAGGCAGGTGCTAGTCATCACTGTTGTGATATTCTTCAGCCCAGTCTACACTAAAGACCCAAGTTCTGACTTTCCATCCTGATTGTATATTGTACTCTTCCTCTTTTCTGTGCAATTTATTCTGAAGCATTTTGAACAGACAATGCCTGGAAATTTAAACCCGCTAGACCAATGGAACATTCTAGTCATTTGTCTGCATTCTCTAGTTAAGCTAACACAGAAGAAAATATTACTGTTTTCTTTTTCTTAAAGTCCATGTTGCCTAATGAATCAAAACAGCAGACTTTATGAGACAGCCATAGTTAATGACAATAAAATACACGAGTCTCACTATATACAGAATTATTAACCTAAAGACTTGGTTAAAAAAACATAGCTTCTATAAGGAAAACAGACTTAAGTCTCTACTGAACTGAAAAAGCAGAAAGGTTTCAAAGACACTCGATGTAGGTATGCCCTCTGGATCTGCTCTGGTGAATGCAATTATTTTGAATTTACATTTACAAACTTAATCATTTGTGCATAAGATGCCTATTAGTCCATCTCTGTATTAGTCTGCCTCTTCTGAAACAGAAGAATCCTAGTCAAATAAGAATGAGAATTTAAACCTAATGAGCCTACTGCTTAGATGGCTGGGGGATGGGGAAGTGAGAGGGTGGGGATAAGGTACTCACTGGTCAGCCTTCAGTGCCCTTCCAATGTTCTCAAACACAGGACAAAATGACTATGTTTTGGCATGCAGGAGCCAGCTTGCTCAGGAAATTGTGGCATATATAAAACAAAGCACATAAACAAATTCTCAATCCAGGAAGCTGAGTTTAACAATTGCCTCATTAACAAGATCCAGGGAAGGACAGGAAAAGAGGGGAAGCCAATAGCTGATTATTATACAGTTCTAGACAGATGAAGTCCTTCAGCTTCTCCCCAAACAGTCCCTGTAGTGTGGATTTGACAAAGTGGCACATTTAAGAGGGAACTCTCTTGCATCAATGGGAGCCAGGCGCAGCCGTATCTGAGGGCCAAATTCAGTCCCTGGAGCTTGACTTTATCAGTAGACACAAGACAGAGGACAAGGCAGCTACATCCACAGAGAATTAATTAAAAGCAAAAGAGACATCCAGTGAATATAATCAATAGCCTGCACTGATCTACATATCAGCCAGCCATTGCTTTCTCCCTTTCAGTTTCTTTTCAATTATTTACATTAAGGTGCTCTTATAAAATACAACTTCAACAGAAATTTATTTGCTACTTGGCCTCACTGAAATTACTTATTTCTCATACTGCATCATACAAAATATACCTCAAAGACCAAGCATCTTGATCTGAGTTTCTGAATGGTTCAAATCTTTTTGGGTAAAGTTTTATTATGGATAATTTATTAGTTTGGCTTTCTCCCTGCACATTTCTCCAGTTTCATGTGGGATGTATGTTCAAATAAGCTTGACTTCAGAATTGCCAAAGTCCACTCCCAAATTTGTCTTTACTGGCTAATTTTGTTCTGTTTCCTTTTAAAACTGTACCTTTTGTAATATATCATAAAACTCTTCACTAATTATTATAGTATTGCTTGCAAACATAAAATATTGGTTCAACACAACCCCTTCCAGTACTGCTATTTCTTATATCTCCCTCAACCCTTCCCCCACCCAACACACATAAAAAAACACAGTGCAGTTCTCTTTTTGAAACCAATGAAAACAATCATATAATTTTTATATTGCTTTCATTTGTGCTGTGCAATAGTGCAGGTCTCATTACCTTCATATTTCAATGGCTTACCAGAGACATCATTTTTCAAGACCAGCTTCTTGGTTAAGTCCTTTAGCAAAGATTCTGATTTCTTCTGGAATCTGTGCTTTGTATGAATCTCTCCTAAGCAGCACTGAGACCACAGTGATTTGTCAGTCATCCCTTTTGATGGGCTCTAGTCCCATCAATTCAACAGCAGCCTTTATTGCTTAAGGAAAACAGGAAATTCTGCCTCCTGGACATAAACATGTGAATTTTCTATGTCCAGGACCAAAAGGATGAAAAGGGCAGATTTAACCGATATTTCCATAAGAATGAAAGTCTCACTTTTAATCCACATGTGTAATGCTTTGCCCATGAATCACATTTCAGGGGTCTATCTGTAAACATTTTGATTGGATCTAATTTTACAGATCTTACTTACACCAGACTCCCTTGGTAATAGGTGGGAGTGTGACTTGAGTAAGCACTATAAAACCAGAGCCCATTTCCCCTCTGATCACGATTGTGTTTATGAACAAATGTGATTTCAGATTTAGCACCAATACAATCTCAGGGTAACCTAAAATAGAATGAGGCCATAATAAATGAAACATTGAAATGGGGAAAAAAAAAAGGTATGCCAGGAAGAGGTTGCTTTCTTCTTATTCAGAAACTAGCAGCCAGGCAGGATTTTTAAAAATAATGATAAAATGTAGAATTATTACTGACACAATGATAGCATAGATTTTGGTGGCCAAAAAAAGTTGATGAGATAGAGAAGCATATGCTACCCATGTTTTAGGCCCATTGGAAGCAGCTAGTGTTCAACCAGTTTGGTTTTTATATGGCCTTCAAAGATATATGTCCACTATGATTATCCTAAAATTAAAAAGAAAAAAAAATTACCTGATTGTTGAACAACAACAACAAAAAATGAAATGGAGAAAAATAAAATATACGAGCAAACAAACATACCATGTTCACACACAAAACAAAATAATTCTCTCAGGGACATCAGGGAAGGTGGAATACTATAACAACACATGTTATATTGTTATACTATTCCACCCACCTTAATGAGGAACCCTTGGGCGTTGCTACTCCATAGCCTTTGGAATCCAGATTTCCTCCCACTTTCATCGTGTCACATGGCTTTCGCTGCTCAATGTATTCATTCATAGTGGACTCCAGGAGAAAGGCAAATTTGCCCTTGGATTTGCGGACACGAGCTACTCCCTCAGCTGTAGTCCTAGTGAACACTGATGGCTCTGCCGATCGCATGTAGGTCCACATCTTTTCATACACTGCTATTTTTGATCTCTGGAGGAAATTAAAATAAAATTAAATACAGGAAAGAAGGGAACAACATGTTAATATTGACTGAACTAAGGTAAGGATCAAGATTTTTAGTATCTTTCCATTGCCCTCTATCTCCAATTTGCCACAGAGTAACATCACAGTAACATTATTCTTTTCAAATTGGAAAACTGCCTTTTAAAGCTAAGGAAATCATTGAAATGACACTGAAAAGTGGTATTTGAGGAAGCTGCATCTCTTGACATAATAATTACTATACTCAACTACTTAAATAGCAACTTATTATTTTTTAAATGTAGAATGCCATGAAGATAAAATCGTGTTTTATGTCACATTCACGGTAAACTTGAAAAGGACCCGATAAGACCTGATGTCAACATTATAAAATTTCTTTTAATACTGTTTGACTTATAACAAATAAGGTGAGTTGTTATTTTATTTTCATCTTCTTTTTCATATTTCAAAGTTTTAATGAAAATCGTTCTAGTAAGATGTATACAAAAGTACAGTCTATATCAAATCAGTAGTTGAATACAAAAGAGAAGGAAAAATCCTCTATAGTTTACAAACCAAATATCTGTAACTCAAGAATTAAACTCTAGGATGATCAAAACATTTTTTAGACTTTTTAGTACGTATACTGCACTTTAGAGAACTGATTCCTGTTTTCCCACTTTATATTTTGGAGAGTTCTAATATCCTGACTCCAGCCAAGAAACTTACTTATTTTTGTAAATTATTTCTGTCTACCTGGCTTCTATCTACATTACTCCCACTACTTAATTTACTCAGGTCCTTTTGCTGGCATCTGCATTCGCATTAGATTTTTTCATTTACACACACATTTTTAATGTGAAAATATATCCAAACAAACTCAAATGTCCCTAAAATGGATCTTTAATAAGATTTAAAGAAGCCTAAGTCCTTTTTGGGGTTTGATAATACAATGATGTACACAGACTTTTATCTGGTGCACTTTCATTTGTTCAATAATAACAAGGTGCTGAAATTTTGTATCTGGATCCAAGTAAAAAGTAATGGAGATTTCATTAAGATTTAAAGCTATGTGTGAGGCCCAATCCTGAGGAGTGTGTCTATTTATTTACATTGAGCCTTCTTTGTTTACCAAAATACTGAATCCAACAAGAAGCAGTTCTTCAATAATCAACAAATATCCTGAGTAGCAAATTTAAGAATATCTGTTTTTGGACAAAAGCAAACTTTTCAAGGGGACAAAGAAAGAAACTGAGAAGAATGGGATTCAAAATTTTGGTTTCACAGGATAGAAAATTAGTAATCAATAAACCTAAATGATAAACCACACAATAACTGATTTGCATACTTGAACACCAAAGAAAAATATATTTTATGGTAATGTATATTCAAATGTTGATAAATATCAAGGTGGAAAGTAGACATCCTATAGTGTCTTATGAAATTTTTTTATGTTATTAACACTTGAAAAAATAACTCATGATATAGAAATTGTGGTGTGTGTGTGTGTGTTGGTGAATAAGCGTGTGTTTAGATAATGACAGGTTACTTCTGGCTGCAGAAATCCTCGTATTAGGAAATTCTTTGCCAACACTTCAATTCAACTGCAAATATTCTATGTGCTTCTAGGACAGAGGAGTACGTGGATTCAAAACCTTCAGTTAGGGGATCTACCAGCAATGGTGTGTTGCCAGGTCTCATTCATTCCATCTCTAAACATAGAGCTCTGTTCCAGAGAACAGACTCTTTCATTTTACAATGAGTTCTGAAAAATATAAACTCTCTGGATCACTTGATACAGATTGTTCCTAAATATCTATTCTGATAATTTCAAATTCAAAGAAGTATTGGCAAACAACATCCTTTAGTCACATAATCACTTTTTTATATATTTGTAACTTGACTTGACAGTTTCACTCAAAAAGGTATAGAGCTCCACATATTTTATATACTTTACTATGTACACTATGTTGCAAACAAAAGAAATAAAGTCAATGTAAATATTTTTTTAAATTCAAATATTTTTTGAAATTTTTTAGGAATATGAAAAATATCCTAAGTACTTGGTCTAATCTTCCAGTTATAATTAAGTAGCTTACTAAAAGAATAGGACAGTTAAACAAAACTAACATAGAAAAGTGGAAAAAGTATTTTTAGGGCTTGATAGTTACAAAGATCATTTAACTATAGAATGCAACATAATATTAAAACAAATCATTCCTTTTTATAGGAATAAAGTATTTTTAGGCCATTGACATTTTTTAACAGTCCATTCCTATAATTTTAATGTGGGGAAAATTACTATTGCATTTGTTTAAATATATTGAATTACATATACCTTAAATGCAAAAGAAGTCGAATTAATCCCTTTAAAATATGGAAGAAAGAGGAATCCACAGAGTAGTCATGATAAACTTAGGAGACTTTAGGTACAATAGAAATTGTAAAATACAGACTTTTAGTGGAAAATAGAGGAAAGATGAAAGCAACTGTTTTTTGGGAAAAAAAATTAGCCGGGTTTGTCATCATGTTAATGTTTAGAAATTCTGATTCTGAAAGGGATATGGCTTAGGCAAGATCACATACACATGGCAAAGAGGTGAGGGAGAAGTGAAGAGGTGAAGGACTGGAAATAATATCCCTGTGCCTCATGTGACTGAAAGAGAGTGTTTGCTAAAGAGTAAGGGCAAGCAAATATTTATAAATTTGATGAGATAGGCTAAAATGAGGAAATTTCTGCAGACCCAGCAAGCTTTTAAGTACAGTAATAAAGGAACTTTTAAATCCCTAAAACCTTCAACTGTAGTATCTACTTAAAAATCAGGTGAGGGAAGTGAATATGCTCAAGGGAATTAGCAAAGATAACATCAAAGTCATCACTTTTTGCAACTAAAAAATTAATCTCAGATCTACTTGATTCATCTTTATTGTCAAACTTAATGCATGGGAAGCTATCTGATTTAAAGCCCTATTGTATCATTTAAAACAATTCTTGGAGTTTTTAAAATGTGCTGTCCTTTTAATTTCTAAAATATTAAGTATGCTAACATTTCTGCCTTTAATAGAAAATAGCTAAAAATGTCATGCATTATAGTTAATGTTTACATTGTTAATTATGTGAATTATTTCCCTGTTCTAGTAGCTTATGTGGCAAAACTAATGTTCTAGTTCTCATCAGTGTATTATTTGATAATATTATAAACGTCAAGATAGTAATCCCTCTCATTCATGGTTCATGATTTCACTGATGACTGAAACAGGCACAGGATAAAATCTGCATTGAATTGAAAATTCGTGTGCTTGAATCAGATGTATAATAATGAAAAAGTATGTAAACAGCAAGGCTGTCATTAAGAGACAAGAACAGACTTTCTTTAAATGCCTATATATTATGCTTAACAAGGTGCACAGAACATGAAGCATATCAAGTTTCATAATGGGGCAAAACCAAGGCAATAGTTGAATTCAGACGTAATTTTCCCCCATGGCCTAATTCTTTTTCCAGTTTATTATAACCGTGACATTTTTTTGAAGCACTGAGTATAGGTCACTGCCTGAGGCAGCTTAGTGGAGCTGAGAGATGTCCCATTACTGTGTTTATTGGAAAAAGCATTTTGGACAGTTACAAAAATAGCCTTCATCCCCCATGGCCTAATTCTTTTTCCAGTTGATTATAACCGTGACATTTTTTTGAAGCACTGAGTATAGGTCACTGCCTGAGGCAGCTTAGTGGAGCTGATAGATGTCCCATTACTGTGTTTATTGGAAAAAGCATTTTGGACAGTTACAAAAATAGCCTTCACATTCCCTTTTCTCAACCCATCAGACTAATGGTTTATTTAAACCAGGTCATCATAGGGGAGAGAAAGGAGGCAAATAGGGTAGGAGATGAATGAAATTTTTATCAGAGAACCCAAATATATGCATTCTTGAAAGTGTGCTGCCAGGGGAAATTATTTTCTTGTCCCATAATAGGGTTCAGAACATTCTGCAACAATAAATACCTATACTTAAAAAATCTTTCCAGTTTTAAAACTGAAGTTGGGTGAGAGAGAAAGGAAACAAGGCATAGCTTGCACAGCTTGTGTGGAAGATGGTAAATCGAGGAAGCAGCTTTTTTCATTTCTTTATTTGTTATCAATATTCTCTTATCTACCTCACCAGTTTTTTGATTTTGAGCAGTTTTTTTTAATGTTATAAAGATTAGAAATAAACAATTTTTAGTGTGCTTGAGGCTAAAGAGTTTTACAGTGAATTATTTTTGAAATTTTTTCAGGGAATCAACATTTTCCCTTTATCACTCAAGGCAGAATGATGAGCCTGCAAGTATTTTCTTTATTTAAATGACAATCAGTTCTCATTTTTCAGTAAAATACTAGTGATAGCACAAACTTGTACTCTATTTGATGCATACATATAATGGCTTCTAGACAAAAATCACCAAAATTTACCTACTTAATTTTGGGTGGAAGCAGTTACAAACTGAGAGACTTCCAGCAAGTTACTGAAATTATGCTGAAATGCATGACAGCAATATGTTTCTATTGTTAAGCTTTAGAAATGAGGATGTGCTCAATAAGTTAAAAAAAGTTTGGTTTATTAAGTTTATGCACAGAATATTGTTAATAAAATCTACTGTCATGACTATTACTTAACACTTGTATAAAAATCTACAAATATTTTTAATTAACTTATACATTTTGTTATATCTACTAACAAATTGTTGACAAGTATGTTGCTCATTGTCTGGTTTCTTTTTTAAATAATGCCCAAGGACAGGTTTGACTGAGTGTTGGAGTGATTTGCTCTTGATTTAGTATTATGTAAACATCTGCAATATGTTAGGATATTATAATAAAATCTTTCTTAAAGAGGATGAATATGATACTAAAATTAGAGTACATGAAAGTTACAGATGGCTTAAGGAGTAGCACATTTTGTTGCTTTTAATTTTCAAGTTGAGTGAGAAAATTATAAATATGTATATTTAAAATGAAAATGCAATGTTTCAGGTATTATGTATAAGCATGAATAAAGAACTATCATTACTTTTATTTTGAAGCTTAGGAAATTATTAAATATTATGGTATCTAAATGATTGATGTTAATTATAAAATGTATTTATTATTACCTAGTTCAATATTTGTCAAAATGTCACTCTAGCTCTTTTTTATTTTTTGTTTCTGAAGTCACAAAATGAACCCTTATCTGTGATCAGATATTATCAAGTATATCTCTCTGGGTTCAAGACAAAATGTCACTCTAGCTCTTTTTTATTTTTTGTTTCTGACGTCACAAAATGAACCCTTATCTGTGATCAGATATTATCAAGTATATCTCTCTGGGTTCAAGAGGAACCAGAGTACAATGAGGTTCACTGATCAAAAAATTCATCCCCATAATGGAACAAACAACTAAAAATACAAAGAAACAAAAAAACACAAGTCTGATACCCTGATGGAAAGTCAAAAGGGATCATATCCTCACGTGTAACACAACAACGACGCAAACTAAATACCATATGATGTCTTACAGAGACACTCAGAATTAATAGTTAGTGCTACTGTTACCTTGTGAGAAAGCAATATGTTGTTTTGAAATCCATTGTTACAGAATAGATTATAGAATAATATAACTCATATATATAATATAATTTGTAATTAAGGTTTTGGGTTTCAAATTCAGCAAACTAAATGTACTCTTTAAAAGTAAATCTTGCTTTCATTTTTATGCTCTTAGACCAAAAGCACACATAAATCCAATCTTGCCAGATCCAGTATTATCAAAGCATTGTCAACTGGAATGTTTTGGATAAATTATGTTATAAAGTTGTTTTAATTACCTTTTCACTGTTACTATTCCTTATGGAGGGTTCCTCTTGCAATGTGATATACCAATTAGCTTTTGCAAATTAAAGGGATTATAAAATCCAACTAGAAGTATTAACATTAAATATAGTTGCCATCATTATGTTTGCAAAACCTATGACGGCTAAAGCCCATAACATAATTGTTGGAAAAATTGCATAAACTTTAAAATTATGAACATTTCATTGTTAGTTTAGTTTTTTCCTTAACTTACTCTGAAGAATTCTTTTGTTGACCCTGAATCCAGAGTTCCATAGGCAATTTCTGTTTGTTTGGCCAGGTCTTCTGCACTTTCTATAGGGGAAACCATTCGCTCAACCGTCAGGAAAGCAGCGAGGTTAGCAGTATAAGATGATATAATGATGAGTGTAAAGAACCACCAAACACCTCCAACAATTCGACCTGAAAGGGATCTAAACATGGATAAGATAATGCACATTTTCCTTTCTCTAACCAACATAGAGAAAGAAAAGAAATACCATTGATTCACCATACATGTTTAAAAATAACAATTGCAAGTGGTTGTTTTATTTTCTGAGTCTACTCAAGAATGATTCTGCTTAATCTAATGTCTTTAATACTATATTTAATACATAAATGCCACTGAAAATATGAGAAACTTTTTTATTGTTTAATTGGCAGAAATGAGGAACTTCCCTCAGATAGAAAAGAGGAACACTTACTTAAATTCATTAATATCCTCTCTCCCTCGTATTTAAGCATCTCTAAAATTAGGATGTAGCCTACATTTGGTTGATGAGATAAAATACAGTATCATGGTTTAATTAGCAACATTGTTTCTCTCTTAGTGTATATAAAATAGCAATCCATCTGAATAATGGTGGAGGTCTTAGATTTGATGTAAGTTTGTAGAAATGCTTCTGAGACTAAAAGAGAGAATTTAGTTTTATCTTCAGTAAGAGCCCTGCGAGGATGGATGGGACATAGGTTGAGGTGAAGCTGGACCAGCTGAGGATTGGTCTCAAAGAAACCATAGTTGGGGATTTTTTTTTTTCTTTTGGTGTGATATTCCATTTCTGAGCTGGGTGGAGGATGTTAATTATAAAATGTATTCATTATTACCTAGTTCAATATTTGTGAAAATGTCACTCTAGCTCTTTTCTAGCTAAAAGCATCTGTACATACTAGTATAAACATTTTCTCTCCTCACCCATTCTCTATCGTGCATGTGTGGGTAAATATGAGTGCAGAGGAAAAGTGGGAATGGGAGGAGTAAAAAAATCCAGCAAAAAGTCATAATTGATCTCACTCACTGGGACAATCAGACTATTAAAAATTCCCATGGCAAATTGTTTTAAAACTTTTTTTAATATAACAAATCATTTCATATTTTCCATGGCATTTCCAACTTTAAAATGCTCCCTTATAACTTGTTATCATAAAATTGACACCTGTTGGTTTTAACTTAATATTTGCTTAATCCTGGCTTTTAAAAATCATAACTTGATCTGCCTTGATTTGTTATCATTTCATTAACTGACAGTTGTTGATTCCTGTGTTATTGGAATTTAAGCACATTTATAGTTTTCCTGAGTCTTTTCTTTTTTAAAAAAAAACATTAGATTGTACACTTTATTTAATTTTAATTTCTTTTTTTTTTTGGCTACTGGTTGGTATGGGGATCTGAGCCCTTTACCTTTGTGTTATAACACCACACTCTAACCAGCTGAGCTACTGGCCAGCCAGTTTTCCTCAGTCTTAAGGATCATAAACTGCACTGTGGCCAAAATGTCTCTTTTTGAGAAAGCAAACATTTCTTTTTTTTTTTTTTTTT